TTAAGGGCCTTGCTTAGGGGCCCGGAGGGGGCAAATGAGGGTGGAGGCAGGTGAGGGTGTTTCACCTTCTCCACCCATATTTTGATGTTGACTGTACCGGGAGTTGACCCTGTGACTTTCCGATCACAGGCCCATCCTCTCTAGTCTCTGCGCCACCACTCCCCAAGTAGAATGTCTGCTTGTTTTTATGTATTTATTTGTGTGAATGCCTAAGTGTTCACATTACAGTGATTCTGTTTCTACTTATAAATTCTTCCGTTCGTTTTATTGGCATAGTTCTCTTCCTCTTCCCCCCCCACACACACACACTTTTTGTGCTATTTCAACAAATCCTATATCAAAACGTTCAGCTCTTTCAGGACAATCCTGCTATGACTTTTTGTATTGGTGCAACTTTAGATTTTTGAGGTATTTAGCCTTTTCGAACACTTTTTCCTAATAGAAAATGAATTTATCTCATTTTACCTCCTTCAAATCTGTTTACAACCTTTTACTGCTCCTTTCACATTTTGTTCTAGTTCAGCTTCCTTGTGCAAATTTAAAATTTTCAGCTACTTTCAGCTAATTTCAGTTGTTTTCTTCAGCAGTTTTTAAACTTTATTTCAATTCCTTTTTTGGTAACTACAACATTTTGTGCTTCTAACTTTTTTCTGCTCCTTTCAGTTTATTTCTGCAAGTTCCATCTTTTTCTACCATTTCAGCTACTATTTAGCTAATTTATGCTAATTTAAGCTTTTTCTTCTAATTCCACATTTGTTTGCACTTCTTTCCATTTTTTTTTTTTACCTAATTCAGCAAAAATGGTTTCTCTCCACTTCTGTAATTTAAGCTTTCTACTTTTTGAGCTACTTTTCAGCTGGTTTTTGTTTTTTCCTAATTTCAGCTTTTTTCATTCAACCTTTATTTAGACAGGTTAATCCCATTAAGCCTCAGACTCATTTACAAGAGAGACCTGATTTCAACAGAGTGATGACAGTGGACAACAACAACAGTAGACAATCATAAAGGAAGCATACAGATTATTATTATTTTTTTAATTTTCCAGATAATTTCCTCTGTTTTGTGCTCATTTCTGCTTCTTTCAGCCTAACTTGGCAAACTTGTTATTTTTCTTATGCTAATTTAAGCTTGTTCTACCTTTTTTTCTACCTTTTTTTTTTTTTTTTTTTTAAGCATTTTTGTAGCTAATTGCAGTTTTCAGGTTTTTCATGGTAATTTCTGTTACTTTCAGCCTAATTAACTTCTATATGCTAATTTCAACTTGTCGTCCTTTCAGCTTTTTCTGCGCTTTCAGCTCCTATTTAGCTGTTTTTATTCTAAATTTAGCAAGTTCATCTAATTTCACATTTTTGGAGCTCCTTTCAGCTCTTTCCATTTGCTTCTGGTAGTTTAAGCTTCTTTCTGCCTTTTCAGCAAATTTTCAGTTTTTGTTTTTTTTGCCAGTTTTAGCTTATTTAAGCTAATTTCTTCATTTTTGTGTTCATTTCTGCATATTTAAACCTTTATTCAGCAAATATCTGTACTTTTTGCTCTCTTCTTCTAACTTAAGCTATGTTCTTCCATTTCAGCTACATTTCATCATGTTTTTTTTTAGCTAATTTCATCTGTTTTTCAACAAGTTCTTCTGCAATAATCACTCACACTGCATTCACAGGAAATGCAGTTTTTCTGTAGTTTGTCTAACATTCAGATAATGTGCAGATGTGGCAGGTCGTATTGCTTCATTTCCATGAGTCAAGCGGGACACATCGTTCTCTCTCAGTTCATGCCCCTGAAACTAGGACAGGGTAACGTCTCTTTGTGTCGCACATCTAAAGTTCCCTCGCTGTTCCCTCGCTGCTCTCTGAAGTGCAAATAAATCGTAGTGAGCAGGAGCAGCATGCCTCACACACATTAGCATCAAATATAGTGTGAAGGTGAGGCTACGGGAGAGGCAGAGGTGATGGAACACGGCTTTCTGGATGTAAACAAAGCTTGCGCCTATTGACACAACAGAGTAATTCTTTCTGATCTGGGGACATAAAAAGACATTAAACTTTGACAACCTGAAGGTTATGTCACATCAAGTTGTTGTCATTAGATGGTTTACCTGCTTTGATTCTGGTTAACTCCTCAAATCGTTCCTACCTCACAAACTTAACTTAGTCTATTGATTCTCTGCTTATCAGTCTGCATGAGTGAAAATGGAGCGGTGCACTGAGGAAAAATGAATCTGGGTACTCAGGGGTGTAATGATGTATTGATCTGCAATACATTTTTACTTTTCTATTAGTCGGTTTATGGATAATTGTGTTTGTGCTGCGTTTTTATCTCACCTGCTGCTGGGAGGAGCGCCCAGGTCCTGACTTTAATGACAAGAATGGAAAAGATTAGTTTTAGGAGGCAACCAAACTAACATTTGTTTCTGTTCATTCCCGAGAGCTGCAACTTCTCTCAACTCGCTGTTGATGGACATAAGTGCTACCTAAATACCTAAAAGTGGCCCCAGGATGTCTCATCTTTAAAAGTCTTGACTTCATGTATCTAAAATTAGAGCCTTAAAATGTCTTGAATTAAGAGAAAAAAATCAAGTTGGTCTTAAATACGTTACTAAAAGATCTTAAAATTTGTCATGGCAGTACTATTTAATCTCGTATGTAATTAGATTTTTATTTATTTATTTTTTGCCGTGGGACTTGTGTGACAGGCAAAGTTTTGTCAGAGTCGTGCGCAGACTTCTTCCTTTCATTCTGAACATGAGATTTCTTTCATACAGTCGGTGCTTCAAACGGATTGTGACTCGAGGTGATTGAGGCTACTATCTACTAGCTGCTGATGTATATAGCTAGCTAGCTGTTCTGTGACTAAATCTCTATCAGAGATGCACAAGAAGCTGAGTACAGGGAACTGGTGGACCGCTCTGTGGCATGATGTGGAAACGATCATCTCATCTTGAATGTGAACAAAACAAAGGAGATGAGTGTAGATTTCAGAAGAAACGGGAACAGGCTCGAACACTATTTACATCATGGGAGAAGAAGTGGAGGTGGAGAAGTATAAATACCTTGGGGTTCACCTGGACAAAAGACTGGACTGGAAATGCAACAGTGAAGCCATCTAGAGCAGACTGTACTTCTTGAGGAAGCTGAAGTCCTTCAACGTTTGCAGCAAGATGCTGCATATCTTCTATAAGTCTGTTGTAGAGAGCGCTATCTCTTCTGCCATCATCTGCTGGAGTAGCAGCACCGGAGGAAGTGACTTAAAAACCCAGACAACAACCCCGGAAAAGTGTTGAAGGAATGTGCTGATCAGCTCTGTGAGGTGCTGGCAGACATCTTTAACACCTCACTTACCCTGGAGACAGTTCCCACCTGCCTGAAGACTGCCACCATCATCCCAGTCCCAAAAAGCTCTACAGTGACTGGTCTGAATGACTATCGGCCAGTGGCCCTCACCCCGATAGTCGCTAAATGCTTCGAAAAACTGGTGATGACTCACATCAAAACAACCATCAACATCAACGAGGACCCTCATCAGTACGCATACCGTGAGAACCGATCAACAGAGGATGCCATCTCCTCTGTGGTCCACACTGCGCTCAACCACCTGGAGCAGAAAAACTCTTACGTCCGTATGCTCTTTGTGGACTTCACATCCGCCTTCAACACCATGATCCCCCAAACCCTGATGGACAAACTATCCACACTAGGACTAAGCCCCTCCATCTGCAACTGGGTACTAGACTTTTTAACAAACAGACCACAGTTAGTGAGGATCCACAACCTCTCCTCCTCCACCATAACCCTCAGCACCGGCTCTCCTCAGGGATGTGTGTTGAGCCCCCTTCTGTTTACTCTGCTCACATATGATTGTGCAGCTACCCATCCAGGCTGTCACATTGTGATGTTTGCAGATGATACAGCGGTGGTGGGATGCATCACAAACAATGATGAGTCCAGCTACAGGCAAGAGGTGGAACACCTGGAGAGCTGGTGCAAAGAGAATAACCTTCACATCAATGTGAAGAAGACAAAGGAGATGATTGTGGACTTCAGAAGGAACAAAAACACCTACACCCCCCTGAACATAAGAGGATCTGCGGTGGAAGTGGTCTCCAGCTACAAGTACTTGGGTGTACACATGAATGACAACCTCAGCTGGAGCAACAACACCACCAGCCTGATCAAGAAAGCTCATCAGAGACTCTACTTCCTCAGACGGCTGAGGCGAGCTGGATTGGGAAGCTCAGTCCTCACCTCCTTCTACAGGTGTGCAGTGGAGAGCATCCTGTGCTCCAGCATCAATGTGTGGCATGGAGGCTGCACAGCTGCAGAAAGAAAAGCTTTGCAGAGAGTGGTGAAGGCTGCACAGAAACCTGTTGGAATCAGTCTCCCCACCATCACAGACATCTACACCTCCAGATGCAGGAAGAGGGCCACCTGCATCATGAAGGAC